AGTTCACCCAAAAATGAAAATTTGCTGATACTTTACTCCCCCTCAGGCCATCCAAGATGTACAGTCATGTGAAAAAGAAAGGGCACCCTATTGAATTCCCTGGCTTTCCATATCAGGACGTAATAAAATAATAAAAATCTGGTCCTTAGCAGGTCTTAAAATCTGGAAAATAAAACTTCAGATGAACAACAACACATGACATATCACACCGTGTCATTATTTATGTAACAAAAACTAGGCCAAAATGGAAAAGCCATGGGTGACAGATCCACTTTTAGATCATGGCTCAAATATGCTTGCTTGACTTCTGTTTGTTAATAGACTTTTAATGGATGGACAACGAGATAATATTAATAATATCTTCATTTTTGTTTTAAAGATGAGGGATTGAAAAGACATGAGTTTGAGTAAATGTTTTGTCTTTTTGTTTTTGGTTCAAATGTCCCTTCAAACCAACTTGTGTACCTTCTGATCAATCAGTCTTGGGTAGAACATTTAAAAAATATATTATTTATTAATGTAGCAAACAATTTCAGCACATTTCCAGAGCTATAACTACAAAAAAAAAAAAGGGGGTTACACTTTATTTTGATAGTCCACTTTAGACATTCTATTAGCAGTAAGTAACTTTGCAACTACATGTCAACTAGCAGTTAGTCGAGTATTAGTAGACTGTCTGCTTAACACTTAAGACTATCTTCTAACACTTTCTTTGTCAACTTATTCTACTAACCCTAAACCTACCCTAACAGTCTACTCTGAGAGTTAGTAGACATGTAGTTGCAAATTAATGAGAATTAGTTGACATGTAGTTGACATGTAGTTACAAAGTTACTTATAGTTAACAGAATGTCTAAAGTGGACTATCGAAATAAAGTGTAACCATTTATTTTGACACAATGCAATTTTGGCCATTTATTACTTATACTACATTCAAACAGCAGCATTGATATTGGTGCATCCCTAGTTTAGTTGCACCCATTTGCAGTATTATTTATATAGTATTATTTATTAATATAAAAAAAAAAAGTTTTTTATTTTGAGTACATTTTATGTGCTTTTTATTTCTATTTATTTACTTTTTTTATATTCCTTTTTAGTTTTTCCTTTTATTAATTTCCATTTACTTTTAGTAATTTTAATACTTTTAGTTAGGTTGCATCAAACTTGAGCATCATTTAAGGAACCGTTAATGTATTCTATTTATAGATGCATATTAACATTAGAATAATCTGTGTCAAGCGTGTTTGATAAGGTGGGTTGTTTGGGGTGTGTGTACAGTAGTTTTGTCCAATGCCCTCTCCCTGACCTCTTCTACAATGCTTATTTGTATTGAGTTTGTAGATTGAGTATATTGAGCACGGAAATGTCTATTAGCGTCTGTGAATGTTTGGCCTCGAGAGCTGATCGGTGTGTGTGTGTGTGTGTGTGTTTATTCATTCCAGAGAGGTTACTTTACAATTGTGAAGGGTTTCAGATTGAAGCAAATGTGAATATATGTGTGTTTTTGCTGAATGACCAGTGGTTTAAAAAGACCATTCATACAACCATATTAAAGTGATGAGGTAATTAAATGGCTGGACTAATTGCCATCCTGAAGAGAAAAAAAAAAACAATACAAGAAGCCCTTTCATAAGGTTAAGGAGTTATATTACTGCTTCTGACATTGTGCTTACAAAAAAATCAATCTCTCTCTCTCTCGCTTGTTTTTTTTTTCCCCCTCACACTTTCTCACACCCCCACACACATGCTGGTGGTAATTCTGCTTGACATGCTTACGGCCATATGCTTTACATCACCGAGAGCCTCTGTGATTGTGGCCTCTCAGTGGTTTTCATTGCTACGAGAATATTTGAAACCCATCAGTGAGACACTAACAAGGCATACGATGTCTGTTTAGATTAGGGTTGAAGTGGCACATGATTTAAGACCATCTTTCCTTCATCAATTCTCAGTTTCACTGATACTGGTCTAAGATCAGCCCATGCCCAACCCACACTGTCACATAAAGTTAATCAGCCACTGTCAGAAAAGATCATGGATTACAGTGCTTTAATACATGATCACAAGGACAGAATTTCCATACGATATACCAAAATCCAGTGGCATTCCTGGGATCAGATAAGGACCACAGATCATTTGGGAGTTTCTGTCATGTTTCATTATAAGGACACATGTATGTGGTTAGGCCTTCTCCTTCATGGACACATACTGTATAGTGATCCACTACACATTTTTTTTTT